TGCCACCTGGAAGTAAATCGATGCCACTATCCTCGCACGAGGATAGGGCTGTTTCCATAATCAGATCTATAACAAAGTTGAATAGAAAAGGAGAAATAGGGCAACCCTGATGAACACCACTTTCCGAGGTGAAATCGGGTGAAAAAGTGCCGTAAGCTCGAACTCGGCTTCGGTTATTAGTATAGAGATTGTAATATTGAGATAAACTTCTCTGGCACACCCTTCAGAGAAAGGCAGCACCAGAGTTTAGAACGGTCGACAGAGTCGAAAACCGCTTTCAGATCTAGGAAGACAGAGATGGTGGGTCTACGAAAAGAATGCCAGTGCTCCAGAATTTGGCGCAGAGTGAAGATGTGGTCGATACAACCTTGACCGGGTCTAAACCCAGCCTGGTTCTCACGGCGAAGATGTGGTCGATACAACCTCGACCGGGTCTAAAACCAGCCTGGTTCTCACGCGTGAAAAGCCGCTTTCAGATCTAGGAAGACAGAGATGGTGGGTCTACGAAAAGAATGCCGGTGCTCCAGAATTTGACGCAGAGTGAAGAGCAGCACCTAATTTTCGCTTGCGGCTCCTAAAAGCAAGTTCTTGTCCACAACGCCCAAATTTCAACAGGGATAGTAACCCAGGCTGATGACAGCAGATATACCTAGAATTGTTTTCGTGAGAAACCAATCTGTAGTTTATACTTGGTGATGCAACAACTATACACTCGAACCACAATTCGCGCATGAAAGGCTGCATTCCAATATATTAAAGAGTCTAAATTATTCTCCAGCAGGAGACAGTCATGAAAAATGACGTCAACGACTGGGTAATGCAAAATGTACCAAAAGACTACAACAACGTTGAACACAGCTCCTACAATTGGGTGAAAAACTGCGCATTGGTGGATACTGTTTTTTTTTTCATCGGAAACCCTTCACAACATTTCTTACTGGTCTCAGATCTCATAAGCAGATTTAAAATAGCAGCCCTCAAACATCAAGATATAATAAAGATTGAGCGCATCGATGAACGAATATGACCTTAATGAGATCTCCGCGGAATACTTCCTGATGACCTACCGGGATTTTGGAGGAATGAATAACACTGTGGACAGAACCTCGGTCCAGCATTGCGATATTACTTTACAAGTCCTCTGTAGTCACTCTTTTTCTTGGACACATTGGATCTCCTCCGAACCAAACCGATCTGAAGATCATACTACTTGCACCTTTCCACAGTTGCTTTGGGGAATTGAGAAGGACAGATGATTCGGGAAGTGTAAGCAATTACAAATTGTGATCATATGCTACCGATCAACCCAGGCTCACGAAACTAAATTTAGAATGCACCACACTTGAAATACCTTTACTTCAGTGGACTGTCAGTTTTTTGAAAGGTACTGTATGTTCAAATCCTATGGCATTTTGTGACGAGTACCTTCTTAGTAAATATTAATCCAGCCCGCATAAATGGTATTGTGTTAGTGCTGTCATTAGGAATTCCCTTGAGGATTCGAATAAATATAATTGTGCCACATTCATTCGAGGCCGCGCGTGTGTGCTGCTCATGGACAAAGTTCATTCGCCAGTACCCATACAAATCATCATTCAGTAGCAAAATGAAACAACCAATCGACCTAAGTTAAAAATACCTCCGAAAGCCTCAGTATGGTCGGTGGTGGGTGTTTATGGTTGCGGCTGGTCACTCTTCCCTTACATCTCGCGAAATGCTCCCATACGACCAAGCGTCTCAAACAGCCTCTGCTTAGGAAGCCCTACTCACTGTCTTCATGTGGCGGTGTTTTCCAACCTAAGTGAGGGGAAGAATAGCCGACATCCGGGGATATGACGGCTTGGTGGACCACTGGTAACTCACCCAGGGGGGTTGGCCAAAAGCCTGATTCCAAACCAACTATGAGACGTAGGAACCACACACACACCTTCCCGGTTTTGGTAATATTCATCGCCTCAATTGGGTATCGAGGTGTACTTGGCACCTTGGAGGTTGACCCCGTCCAAAGGGTGTATGATCTGATGAACTGGACACCGGACACCCCAACGGATTGCCGTTTTCATACACCGCCCCGCTGCCTTACGGGTCAGGCTTTGGCCAACCGAAGGCTTCGGTTGCGGGTTCCTCAAGAAAATTCACCTGCCTCGGCCTGGGCAACCTGGCGGTACTCAATGCGCATATAAATGATGGAACGTGTTTCTTTTTTATAATGGTTACTGTACCATGGTTTGTATGGCGCACAGTCTGGCATCAGACGTGTGTGAATATATATATATATATATGTGTTAAATTTAAAAAAATATGAAACACTACGTACGGATAACGGAGTGCGTTGTCGGATACGCAGCATTAGCCGACCACCGACAGCACGTCGACCATCCATGAGATCAGCCACGGGGTTAATCGTGGCCGAATTGCTAAGTTCACGCAATGGAAAACTGGCGGTCCCGAGCGGACGGGATCCTTTTAACACACCGGCATTGTAATAAACCTAGAAGGGGTGAGAAGACGAAAGCGACCGGTTAGCCGAAGAAGCCATGGTTGGGCTTGGACATGCTAATTAACATACCCAAACTTGAATCAAACATGGATAAATCAAAGAGATTACATAAAGGCTGCTGTATTGTGAGATTTTTGTTAAAAACTCTCATATCAATAGGGAAATCTCATTTAGAACTCATCTGAATGCAGGTTTAGGTTAGGCGATTTCAACAGCTGCCAAGCGAACTTGACAACCCAACCAATGATGAACCTGTAAAAAGAAATCGGTAGAACTACAAGCTACCCGTTGCTTTTTAGCGATCGATTATCAGGTAATTATAACCACCTGAAGAGAAGGGTTACAAACCAATCTCAGGGTGACAAACGTTGATATAGTGAAAGTACGAAGAGCAGCACCCGCCCGTTGAATGCAGACGACCAGGTCTAGCTTACTGCGCTCATAGGCGAACAAAACGAATAACAATACGTCGTGCAGCACAACTTGTACAAGAAAGGAGGGAGGGGTAGTATAGAACGCACGAAATTTGTTCTAACGAAGAAGTGATACACGTATTTGGACTTTGTTTTCACTTGTTTTTATCAAAAGCAGCACAGCAGGAATCGATTTGAAGGCATAATCGGTTAATTTTAGTTTTAATAAGGATGGATTTTTGGTGTAAATGGTGCTACACGGTGAAGAACAGATACAGTCATGGTGATCTACAGCGAGAAAATTCATAGCTCTGTGATAACTAGGAGCACGGAGAAAACACTATGATCAAATGGGTTCTTTTAAGTCTTTTTGGTTCATTTTCTTTCGGGTGTAACGCACTTTGGTGGGAATGGTGCTATACACAGAAGAGTGGATGTGACCAAGCTGAGGACTGAAGCGAAAAGACTGAGAATTAACATACACAACAGAGAAAAGATACGAAAATGTTGGGTAAAAAGCGAAAATTCAGTACAATAAACAATATAACTGTGATTAAAAGTTTCGTTGTCGCAAGAATATAGTTTTGATTTGCTCCGCCACCAGCAACCAAACACAACCGGCAGGTGGTAAAATGCAATCCCACATGATTACCAGGTGTCACACGGACAACTGTAACGCGCACAATGCGAGGAAACCAGGTCTGTCGGTGATCCATGCGGACTGGTTCACTTGACGTAAAGAAATCGCCGAATCGATTGCCTACGTGTGTATGTATCACTAATTGAAGAGACGATGAGCTCTTCGGCATCAAAACCGAATAACAAAACAGACAGCACAAACTGTAAGCGAAAAATGGTAGACCATTTTTGGCAACAGGCGGTGTGATATCTTTCAAAACAACCTATTCGGAGGGGGGGGGTAAAGATGCTGTGACGCAGATACACGTGGATGTATACACACCATACACCCATAAGGCCACTTACAACACAGGCAATGGCCGTCCAATAATTTTATACCCATAATTCAACCTTCATTTTCACACACAATCAGCAATTTATTCGCACAACATACATACGGGGATGAGTAAGGACCCAGGTCTGCAAGGAACACCTGATTTAATTGGAAGGTTTCGATTGGGATGGACGGACAGAGTGCTGAGGAACTCGAATGACGGGCTATCTTCGGAAACGACATCTGAAAAAAAGAATTTCATGATCGCGATCAGTCCCGGTGCGACCTAGCCAAAACAGTGGAACAACACCGTTTCAGTCCCAAGCCAAAGTTTTATTATGGGAATTACTTACAAGCTCATGCTTCTCTTGTCCCCATAGGATATTTACACAATTGAAACGTTTCTTCGGCGAAAAGAACAATAGTCCAACACAAAGTTCCGGGAACGAGATAACATATAATGAAGTCTTCAACGAAGTTACTTTTTTAAATGGTGTAGGAATGTGAAGTTTGCCAAGGTCTCAAGTTTCCGCTTGAAAGATTCAGTATTTGGTGCACCAATCAATACCAATCTTGACCAAATCTTCACTCTGCGTCAGGTCCTGGAAATGCGCCAAACGCATCGTCGGCAAACCATTGCGGTGTTTCTTGACCTAAAGAGGGCCTTCGATTCAGTTGACTGTGAAGCTCTTATGGGATCGCCGATTCGCAAAGGAATGCCGCAAAACTATGTAAACCTATTGCAAGCGCTGTACCGGCATACTTTTGGTAGCGTTAGGGCCTACGGTGGGCAAAGTGAATCGTTCGAAACCAAGAGCGGCGTTCGTCAGGGGTGCCCTGTCTCATCATTTCTGTTCAATTTCGTTGTAGACGAAGTACTGTAGAACGTACTTGGTGGTCTCCGAAATGTTGATATTGAATGGGCCGCTGGAGAAAAGCTGTGTGAGTTATAGTACAATGATGACATAGCTTGCCTATTCGAATGTATAGAGGATGCGCAAAGTACTCTTGACAAACTTTCAAATTCTATAACTTCATTCGGTACGCGCAAAATGATACTGCAACATTGGGTATCGTCTACCCCGGTGCTGATGCTTAATGATCAAGAATTAGATATAGTGGAATGTTTCTCTTACTTGGGCAGTTGCGTGACAAATGATAGCAGCAGAGTCAAGGAAGTAATCGACCGCATTTCCAAGGCTCGAGCAGCTTGCGCAGGACTGCAACGCCTTTGGTGCCTTCGTGATGTTTCGTTGAAACTGAAAGGTCATGTATATTGCACCATTGCGCGGTCAGTTCTGTTTTATGGTTGTGAGACACTTCATTTGCACGTGGAAGTTTTCGACAGTCGACGCTTATTTAGTTTGGCGCGGGTTGGATGGAGCGAGTGTGTAAGCAACTCTGAGTTAAGGCGTCGCATATTGGGTAATGATTCAATGGAGGTTTCATTGTCCCATCGAATTCCGATTAGTCGGTTTCACTGGTTAGGACACGTATTGCGCGTGCTCAGTCATCGTCTACTGCACCGCGCGTCACTGGTAGTTGCGGCTCCAGGTTGGAAGAAACCATGTAGAGGTCAACATATGACGTGAAAACGAAGCATAAAGAAATGTACAGAGCGATGAGCAAGAATAGTTGTCTCCCGTCTTCCAGGTTGGGATCCAAAAGACTTTAAAACCGGGTGGATGGAAACGGTGAAGGATATGGCAACTAATCGACAGCAGTGGCGTTCTTGTTGTCATTTCTTGTAGGGTCAGAATGCTGGAAAAAGTATATATGCGCATTTAGGTTCTGTACTCCGTGTGTTGACCATAGAGGTTCGCTTTCTTTGCTTCCCTCCGATGGGGCCCAATACCACACCCATATTGTAATTTTTCACTTAATTTGTGTACATTGCGAGCTTGGCAGCGATCATTGACGTTCGCTTCACTGTATCTCGCTATACGATAGTGAGGATGATGATGCACAATAGACGTGAGACGGAAAGGTGTTCCCTCTAACATCTAACATAACTTAAGTTCGGTGTTTCCCGAGTTTATGGTTGATGAGATAATTTTAACATTGGGCGCGAAGAAGGATTCTGAAGGATAACCAATCACCACGAATAACAATTATTGCCAATTACCGCTTACAAGCAACTGTAAGTTGAGAATAAAATTTCTGTGATTTCTATCACCTAACTTGGCCACTAAGTTTTTCGTGGTATCAGTCACCATATTTTACAACTTATTTCAAAGGTTATCAGTACAAACACACGAACGAAAAGTGAATCACAGAGTTAGGGTACAAACAGTGAGGCAAAAAGCTGGCATTGTTTGGAATGCTACGATAAAGACTAAGGGTTTTCACACACATGTGCGTTACCAGCATGGTCCCCCAGAAAGTCTGAAACTGAAACAAATAAAACTTAACATCACACACCGTCGCGAGACTGAAGGCTAAGTCCTTCATATAATCCGCAATTGGGTCAGGTAACAACACTGACCGAGTTTCACTTTTATACTTCACCTCGAAAAGCACCATTTGAAGACAGTGTTTTATCGAAAATATGCCCAACACCACGGGTACCAAAATCAACACGTTTTATAAACACTCGGTTCAGTCATTCGGTTTCATTATCTAGCACTTCACGCCAAAACATGACAAACATTTCTGAGTGATTTTTCAAAATTTTAGTTTTCATTTATCTAGGAGTAGTTACCTGTAGCTGAAAATTAAGCTTCACTCAGAAAGCATATGATCTGAAAGGTCAGCTCAAAACGCGGTGAAAAGGGATGCAATGTGGTATGCGAGAACAGGCATTAGACTTACAGTAGCCTTGACTTCACGTTCACTCTGCACAAAACGAGCGTAGGTACGTGATTTGATATCCACCTCAAACTTCGTGCTTGATTCGTACATCGGCTCTAGGCTGTGCTTGGCCCAAGGTGTGCTAAATTTTTGCGCCCTTTCCACCGTCGGATAGGATAGTACAATTTCAACGTAGGTGTCCACTTGACTGGCGCTGGTAAATTTCGGTGGCAAGGGATAAGCAAAACCGCGTACTGCGGTCACCTCCAGAACGCCATCGCTCAGATCGGCATTCATATTCAGACTGGGGAGATCCGCCCATTCGAAAACGTACGGAACGTTTGGCCGTCGGCAGTAAGCCAAACTGGATTTGCACAGTGCAGCTAACTCAGTCATTTTCGCTGCACGTTCTGACCAACCGCTATCATTCAAACTCCGAGCCACTTTGCTGGCTTCTTCCACTTGTTTTTCCATTAGGCTGACCAATACGTGTTGTCGTTCTGTCGCAGCTGCAATAATGCCATGCAAATATTTGTGTCACGGATGAGGAAACGAGTATTTCTGGACGTGCGAATACCCTTTAAAATTTAATTTCGTTTGGATTTGTGCAGAATTACAGGTATAAGGTTACAGTCCTAGAGATTGGACCTGGTTTCCTATTGATAATACAAGGGTCAAAAGAGAGGATGGGATCACTGGATAATACTCGACATTTCTATATACACTGGCCTGGCACTTTCGTGTCCTGGCTTCGATGGCTGTCTAATGGCTATCTATGAGATCGACGAATTAACTGAACAGCTCATAACAGTAAAGAGATAAAGATGGAGATACCGGGTGAGTTAGATCTGCATGCGAAGTGAATGGATTTACAGCGTAACTGTTTAGGACTCAATGTGTCATCCCATGTTTCTCACCACTGTGCAGGATGGCCCCAAAGTATTTAATCAAGACGACTAATGCGATCTATATGGTCAAGTTCCATGGGCGATGGTTTACTGCATTCATACCAGACAATAACATAACCAACGTGGGCATCGTTCCTGCTACTATCACTACTATTGTGAGGACTACGATTGGAGTGCGCAAAAAGATGCGATTGGCGATTTCGCATAAAGGTTTAAAAAATTACAATACCTCCTGGAGTGAACAGGTGCATTTATAAGTGTAACTACAGACAATGCATTTCTAATGAGGGGCCGTTCCAACAAATAACCTGCTTGATTGTGGAAATTATTATTGATGTGTTTCAGATGAAATGTTTTATTCTATGTACTCCATTTTCGTTGCTTCTAATAAACAACCCTCTTCTTCCCGGCACTGCCCTGTTAAATTATGACACTACTACTACTACTACTCAGCCGGTGGAGTGGGTAATACAAGCTCCAATGATCACATCACATGCCAACAGAACAATGGCGTGAACGGGAGATAAGAAATGTTTAAAACTTTAAGCCTGATCTCGACATTAACTGTTCGTTTATCCTGCCGGATTCGAGCAATGCCAAGTAGACATGGATGTTCGAGTACCAATAACAAGAGCTTGCCTCCCACTTGCAAAGGCCACGTATCTGCATATTATAACAGCACTGGCCGGGTAAGTGCAGTATACATTTGACCCTTCACAGACGGTCAAGTTTTGCGGCGGTGCCAGAGGCGTCTCAAATCGTCAACTACCAAGAGAGCGCTATGCGTGCTTGCCGATAATCCATTTGCGATTTAACCGGCAAGATATAACATTGTCTGAATAGTTAAAGCTGTTTATCATCTTCTCTCACAGAAATACAAGTGAGATCGGAAGCTAGAGTAACCCAATCTCCATACAGTATTCCACAATATAAAGATGAAAGAAGCTTGACCACCGCCGCGAATGTGTAGGCTATGGAATGACGATTATCATGGTATCTTGTGGGGAAACAAGTGTGGCAACATAATAAGAACTTGATTACGTCTCATAAAGCTAACCATCATTTATGGATATTGATGACGTGCGAGAACTGGCTGATTTACGATGGAACTCACATCCCACGGCATTTTTTAATCTTATTTAGGAGCAATATTCCTCCAATAGAAATCTTGCATAGAAGTCAAAAAATGGTCAAGCTCAAAATTGCCTAAGCAATAGACTAAAATGTGCAAAATATATATCGTCATCTTGATTACAGCATAATTTTGGTCAGATGACAAACTCCTTCCACTCACCCAACCCCTTGAACTAAGTAGAAGAATGGTGTACAGTTGTAATTGATTGCCATAAAACTATCTACTTTCCAACTTAATTTGAACTGCTCCGTCATGAACGACATCGTCCTGTTCCGAGTGACTGGTTCACCTAGTTTTGCAGGGTCGAACGGTCTATCGCCTCAAAGACTTTACGTATTAAATATGACAGTGCCCTGATTACTATCGACGTGGTAGCACCTTACGCTTTGGCGGCCACACTGTTTCGCTGACACATGATTAAGGCGCTTTCCTGCGTTCTGTGTTAGTCAGAGTGAGAGGCTCAACCTTTGAATCGTGCCCATCATAGTCCACGGTTTTCGATTTGCGGCAGTCGTTGGATGATTTGGGTCCAGTATTTCACCATCTGCCCAAATTGTGTAGCACACAAAATTATTTCCGTGTTATGTGGAATTAAACGTCACTTTCACACCCTGGTGATAGACTCAGGAGACATGAAACTTTCTTTTATCACTCTGTTCGTTTGTTTCAGTCGTATATTGTGTAATCAATGAGAGAAGGACTTATTGTGTTTTCTATTATGACCAAAGGATAGAAGAAAAAATAATCATTAGGCAATATGAAGCCATGCTTACTCGTAGCAGTTTCCATGTCTAAAACGAACTGGGCCGGGGGATCACACTTGGTCCCACTCAAGATTGGCCCGATCGGGGCCGTGGAGTGCGATCCACCAGAGGCACTACTGCTGGTTGGTAAGCGTGGCACCTTACTCAAATCAACCATAAGACCGGCCTGAGCGGATTCGATCATTGGATTAATGCTCAGAGCGGAGCGCAAAAAGTTACGGGCTGCGTCCATATTGCCTTCTTGTTTGGCTTTGAGTGCGAGCGCCTTCAACTCGTTCTGTCGTTTTTTCAGCAAAGCAACCACCTGTTCTGATCGTTTCGTTGAAGGATCTGAAGAGGATCCCGTTCCTCTGGATGCGTTAGCACCTGTACCGGCGGAGGCATGGGGATGGGATGATGTAGGTAGGCCGACTAAACGTGGACACCGAGGTGGTGGGGGTAGTTCACCATAATCGAATGATGTGATCCCATGTTCACAGGCTTTTAGACCCTCTTTATACTGGGTGATGATTCGAGTCAAACGACGCTGACGGTTACCCTCTGAAGGTCGGGTTTGAGCATCGGCCAGAGCAGCCTAAAACATAAATGAGGTAGATCAATGGAATTGTGAAAACAAATATGAATGACGGTTGTAGAGAAAAAAATTGTGAAAAACTAAGCGAACCGCTCCGCCCGCCCCCCTGGCCCCAGACGAGGTCGTTTCTTTAAACATAGTTCACAAGTGACAAAACTTCCTGATATAGTGAACCATTTCGAATATCGAAGAAGGATAACAACTGTTGCTGTGAGAAATCAATGAGCAAAGAAACATATATCGTTGCCCAAAGCCGAGAAACTCTCGTTGGTTCCGCATGTAGGATGTTATCGATAGAACAAAATCAACGATTTGCTATCCGGATTCAATAGATCGTGATGTCATCAGCAAGTTGTCGAATACGTTGCTGACAAAGCGTATTTAGATCACAGTCTTCATGCAGAAAGAGAGGAGTGTGCAATAAACAAGCTACCAAGAGGCACTAGAAAACATGAATTGAGTGAAAGACGAGAGATCAAAAAGCAATTCACGCGGTTATTGAAGTGAGCCAACAAGACGAGGTTGGCATGGACAGAAAACAATCAAAGGCCGTTCGACAGTCAAGGATACTCATATGATTACCATAATCCCATTGGCATGTATTATCTTAAAGTCCAATGCGTATAAAATTCTCCGTACTACCTTTGAATTCTATTGTGCCTGACTAAAATCCGATACTGCTTGTTGGTAGTGGAGATGTAGCTGCAAAAATCATGGTCGTATCAACCCGCAGGTAGTGAGTCCAAATCGCAACACTACAGCTTAACTGTTCCCCATCTGTATCCATCAGTAACACCTGGTCCGCAGTAGTTACTTAATAACGAGGGAATAACAAGGCATTAACATTGGTGCTTTTGAAGAGAACAGGAAGAAAGTTAATGGCCAACGGTGCAACAATTTTTACATCGTGGTTTTCGTCGCGTAAAGAGCTAACGGAGAATGATAAGAAAAGCTAAGATATAGTGGAGGGCCTTTTATAACTGGGTTTCATCGGCAGTACGAATCCATCGGACACACATTGAGAATTGAACCCGGGACCTAGTAGGCATTGCATGCATCCCAGAGTTTAACCATAGTGATCGTATGTTTTCTTATCGCGCACACTATGTAAGATCTTTAAACATTTCGCATGGGGTGCAATGCTCCACTTTATTTCAAAATCTGATTCCGGGATTTTCCAGACTAATTTTGTGTATATATATACATGTCCTTTCAAACTTTATTGCTTGCACATTTTCGGATAACTTATTAATTGGGCGATTCTCTGTTGACCTTGACAAATTCGACCAACCACTAGGAAAGCTCAACGAAGTTTTAGTTCGTCCGTCGTCATCATTATCATTGTACAACGAAATGCAGCGAAGCGAACATCACTGATCGCTACCAAACTCGCACACAAGGTGAGTGGTATTATGTGAACTGAACAGGGATTGGACCCATTCTGAGAGAGGGGGAAGAAAGTGAACCTCTATGTTCAGCAAACAGAGTACATAATCTGACCGCGCGTATATTTTGCAAGCTTTCTGGCCTGATAAGAAATGACAACAAAAACACCACCGCTGTTGGTTCGCTGCCATAGCCTTCAATGTCTCCAAGCAACCAGTTATAAAGTCTTACGGACCACAACCTGGAAGGCGCGAGACACCTACTCTGACCAGTCGCTGTGTATTTCTCCATGCCTGGTCTACATGTCATCTGCTCACCCTGCTGATCTACACCATCACGTTGACGCGCGCTTAGCTCACGCATTAGCTATGACTCAGTGTGCATATACTGCTGAGACAGACACGCGATGATGAGTGAACCGAGTATGCTGGTTTTGTCGCCGGCCAGTGGGTAGGCGAATGAACTGAATCAAAACTAATACATGATCAAACTCAACACAGGTGGTCCAATAGGATGGATACTGGATAGGAGAAAAGGTGTTCTGCGCAAAACTGAGTAAGTCGATCACCGTTATCTGTTCTTCGGCAAGTTTCCGATGCGCCAAATTTTCTAACCTGCGCGTTAAAATCACCTGCAAGTACAACTACGTCGGAGCTTCGACTCATCCGAATAGGTTCACTGAGTTCATCCTAGAAATCGACTTTGCTTATCAGAACTCCAATTGGTCGGTGCATATACTGACATGATGGACAAACACTTTTTGGTGTTGCATCCTTTCTCGATGCTGACTGAACCGACTGTTAACGGGGATCTAATCGATAACAGAGGACTTGGCCCTGTTAATGGGTACAATACCTACCCCGCACTGACCTATTGAACGGGATCCGTCGTCACCTGATGTGCGAAGAACGTATTCGGAAAACCAATTTGGCGCGTTCATGTGGCTTACAGTAAGATTCTGAATTCGTCTCTGATACGCAGCAGACAAAAATTCCCAAAGAGTCCATGGTACGCGCCAGATAAGCTAGTTGACCTACCTGCAACAGAGTCTTCACATTGAAGACCCCCAGAAGCAGTGGCTGACGAGGCTTCAGAATCTGAAATCCATTTTGTGGTAAATTCCTTACTGTGCTATTTGGCAACGACCCTCGGCAAGCGGCATCCAAGTTGCTTAGGGGACTGTTATAGGTTGGAAGAAGGGACGAAGGAAGATGGTTGGGTACGAAAGACAAAGAGTTAAACAAAAGTTGGGATTTTTAAGCAGTAGCCAACCTATTACCACCCACCCTGCCCGATGCAATGGGCACTGTGGTCCTGATTATCCTGCGCGACGACCGATGCAGAATGAAATTATTTTTCGTTTGTGTATGCATTAGAGTTTGAATGAAGGGTACTGCTAAGGTATCCAGTCACTAAGAAGGAGAACGATTAAGGTTCTCAACCGAAGCCATTAGGTCTCCTGAGAACCTAGCTACAAGGCGGCGGGCAAAGCCAAGTGGAGACCCATTTAATCGGATTGATTACTCCACCACCATTTTTCAACCCACTGAAACGCGAATTCCAGTCGAACCTCCAACCCGGTGTACCAGGAGACTGGACTTTGTCTGACCTCTATCCTTCAACCTTCCAGGCATGATTAGATCTTCGGCTTGACAAAAGCCATCCTGTATAGCTCGATGGGTTATAGAAGTGCATAATTCATCACACCACGTCAAGATGCAGTCTCGTCGTGATGGATAGTTGGCCCGGACCCCGGTGCCACATGCTAATTAATGGGCTTGTTTCTTCCTGTCTCAAAATGGGCTCTGGCTACCGAGACTAACCTGGTAGAACTCATCATCAGGAATCATACGGTCCCACTGATAAATTTCATCGGGGCTGATTTCTCTCTCATCCCTGCCCGCCCCGCCGCCTACATTAGCCTAATTCTGATCTACCTGAATAGCTTGAATATAAGCTGAAGTGGTCAATTCACCCTTGACCCTTAAGTCAAGTAGTGGATACATCACAATCATATTTAACACCGAGGAACGCTCTTATGATTAGGTCCAGTTCTTCCCGCGAACCTCTGAGTAAAACAAACACACAATATGAGCAGCATTGATATTGACGATAAACTATGATTATTTTCAGTCAGCTGCCCAGGCACATCGAACAGGCTGAATTTTAACAGGACAATTAAATAAGTAAGGTGGATCCAGTAGGCAATGTTCGGTAGTCAGCTGATTACTAGTCATTTACAGGTAAGAGAACGAACGAGAGGAGGGGGACATGAATACAGAAAGACAGAAAAAAAGATGTGAGCGTAGAAACGACGAAGCAATTAACACTGGTCAACGGTGAAAGCTAGAAGTTGGGAGGTGGATCAGCAATATCGAATAGGAGAACGGTTCATTTAGATAGTTATACCATATTTTAAACGGATACAGAGACGTTGTGCAATAGAAATTAGCTAATCAAGTAGGTCAAATGAGTTTTGTAATATGAAAATAAGAAGTATGGCGTGTTAACACAGATCTTTTGTTTGCTGAGATCAAGCTTCAAAAAGGTTTTGATGATAGAAATGAATTCGGATAGCGTTCATTCGTAGACAACCACTGAGTACGAAAAACGGTTACAAGTAGGCAAACCAAGAAAACCAAACTAAATCAGCGATTAAATCTCATTTGGCATACCTTGTAATATTCTAACCGAGCTCGGATATTGTCCACAGTCACAAATTGGGAGGTGGCAGCCGCGGGGATCGGAATCTGTGCACCAGCCGGATGCGAGGATTGTTCCGGTTTTTCTTCCGCACCATCCGTTTCAAATTGACTCGGTGGCGGAGGTAGATCAGTTTCCGCACAGAACGCTTCTTCACCGGATTCCACTTTTGGAATCACTTCATCAATTATTTTGGAGGCTTGTAAAAGAGCTTTTGCTCTTTCTAAGTTGCCAGAATCGCGTGCCTGAATGGCAGCTAGCTGGAGTAAACAGAGCGGGGGAGACATAAGTACAGAGAGAGAAATGCACACCGCTCAGTACATGTACATAAAAGGAACAAGATTGATTACTAGACTATGAGATACGGATTCTAAAACTCAGTTATCTGATATGATCCGCGATACTCCCGTGAAAGCCTCAGTATGGTCGGGGTGGGTGTCTTGGATTGTGACTGGTCACCATTTCCTTACACCTCGCGAAATGCTCCTATATGACCAAGCGTCTCTGCTGAGGAAGCCCTACCCACCGCCTTCTCCTGGTGGAGGTGTTTTCTCACCAAAGTGAGAGGACGAGAAGCCGACATCCGGGATTATAACCGGGTTGGTGAATGATTAGCAGTTCACCTAGGAGAGTTGGCTAAGAACCCTGATTCCAAACCAATCAAGAAGAGGCGTAAGAACCACACGCACACCTTCCTGGTCGCGGCAGTGGTCACCGGCTCAATTGGCTATTGGGGTGTATTGGGCACCTTGGACGTTTAACCCCGTCCAAAGGACGTATGATCCAGTTAACTGAATACCGGCCCCTAATGGACTTCTGACTCTGAGCTCCCTCCTGTTGTCTTGTAGGTTTGGCTTTCCAACCAAAGGTTTCGGGTGGGGACCCCGAGGCTATCCCCCTTCCTCGGTCGGGGCAACTGGGAAGTAACATTCCCACATTCTTCAAATTTCTTTCTGTTCATATGTTGTGGCACATTTGCCAGTTCTCTGTAATTAGTTACGCATTGAATAAATATAAAATATAATACTCCCGTGAACCTTGTAAACACCTACCTAGAACAGTAATACTTACTTTGGGACCCATATTTTTCTGTGATTTCTATATTCCAGAGATGAAAGCTAAACCGCACCATAATACTAATTGAAATGTACGTGCTCTTGTAGAAATCGATTAGTCCTAATGTGGCCAGGCAACTACACTACGACCTGTTGGAGGTCCAGAGGTCCAGGGCGTTAACAACTTTGAGACGCTCCGTGAGGTGTAAATCGCTTCAAGGTTTATGAGCGGCATCGTCAGGCTCAGAAACGCTGCGGACATGAGCCGTGTATTTTCAACGAGCAAACAGCTCCGCCGTGCAAACACACTGTTTCGGTCCCGATCAATTCGACCAGTCGCACATCCAAAAGGGTGAATAGTCCCCTTCGAGGGCACGCAGTCGTCGGGCCGTGCAACAAAACAAGCCAATTTTGTTGGTGCTAGGCCTCAGCCTCGCGCGATGTTAACATTTCGTTCAATCTTCTCAGTCACTGACTTGGAACAAACAGGGACATATAGCACATGGGGTTGTTCAAAGGTTACAAATTAATGGGACACTTCAACGCTCATTTTACCGAAAAGTGGCATAGAATTTTGAAACCTACACTTTTCAAGCTTCCCCATGGATTAAGAACGCGGGTTCGGGAGAAGCTTATTTCATCGGTCGAGAAACATTTGTTCTCCAGATACACCAAGAGAAGAGGATTTCCTGAGGAAAACATTGCTAAACAATGGTTATCCAGAAAGGTTTACAGACATTCAAAGTCGATCATTATCGAAAGGTAACTCAATTCAAAACGTTAGCAAAATGGTCACTCACTTGAAGCTTGTCTTTAAAGGATAACATTTACAATGATATGCGTCAGAAGTTGAGGCCAGATTGAGATCGTACATCCTCAACCGCACAACTAAAACTCCTTGCCTCCACTCTGAAGTTACGATGACGCATAGCTAGGCAGAGCGAACCGTCAGCTCCCACATCGGATGGCCGAACATACTCCAAAATGGTTCGTGAAATCGATGACGCAACCGATAACTGATGGTCAAGTGATCACATAAGATCCAGGGTCATCTGTTGCAAAACATCTCATGCCAACAACACGAACTTCTGACTCGAGACTGTCGTTCCAACAACCATTACGTAATCGCAATGCTCAACTTTTGGCAACTAGTGAAGCGTTGCATATTCGATTACATCGTCCGAATTTCTTTTATTTTCTATTTCTATGCTCAGTAATTTTTGAGTCGTTCCATGACTGAACAACCCCATGTACTATCCATGTGCCTGCTTCCTTTAAGTAAGAGATTGAGAATATTAAACGAAATATCAACATCCCCCAACTTTTGTCTTATTTTCGAAAAACATTTGTTCAACCATTTCAACTGCCATGGCCCCGATGTGAATTAAGTTGCAGGACTGGAGTGACCCTTTCCATGACCCCTTGACCCTTTCGATTGACCACGTGACCCAAACAGGTGATGCTTAATCTTGACTCGGTCCTAACCCTTATGTGACACATCCCTTTTCCCATCCATCCAACACCCATTGTTTTGTTTTCTTTGTAAACCGCACACAATCAGCTAATTATAACAACCAATCAGATCCGCACATACATCAATGCCATGCCAACGTGAAGTACCTATTAACTATTTATATAACTGTACTAGCCAGATGATGAAGTTACTGAAAACGCGATTGTTCGTTATTTCGTATTTCCTTAAATGTTACAATGACAATCTTAGGTTAAATACGTATTCGCAAGGATAAACTGGTTATCCGGGAGCTCAATCGTTATTTGCGCTTTGATACCAGACTTGCAGAAGCGAATGTGAAGCTAGAATTTCTGAACAGCTGTATGGAAAGAAGTGACCGCACAAAGTCCCGATGGAATTCCATGTTTCGGAGTCATCAGCGAATAATAGTGACTCTTCTGTAAGAACAGTTGGTAGGAAAGGTACTGACCAAGTACGGATCCTTGTGGAACACCACAACAATCGGTCCCGATATAGGACCATTAGCTCGAACAGATACGGTACGTTGTCGAAGAAATTCCTCAATCTATTCAAAGAGCAGTCCTCGAACACCGCACTCATGCAGCTTTCGCAGCAGTATACGGTGGGTAACCCTGTCAAAATCTTTGTAGAAGTCTAA